ACCAGAAATATTAATTTAGTTATCTCCTATAATGAAGTTGTGTTCTTAGTACAAAAAATGTGCTATATGTGGGAATCATCTCGCTTTTGTCGTACATTTGTTTATATGTGGGAATGCCTCATCTCAAAACAATTGACTAGATGATGGAATGGAACGGCTGCTTAGAAGATTTATTACTTTTTTTGTCCCTTGGAAGCTTCGTTAAGAAAAAAGAACCCTCTGAACAGATTTGCATTGTGCAATCAGTGTTGCATAGCAAACAAGAGAGATATAGTACTCTCCAATATTGTCAGGATAAAAAAAATGTCAGAAATAGAGGAAAAAAAGGAGGGTGAGAAGAAAATGAGATGGATTTATTGTTTGGACTTAAATAAAATTCAAATCTACAGATGTCTAATGCCTATGGCTGATTACATAGAACATAATACTATCACTGGGGAAACAAGGAAAAAAACCAATGATATCCTTTTTCTGAGAACTATATGAGTATAAAATTTGAAACTGCATCAACAAACCATGAAGAGATTCACAGATATAATGTTCTAGTGTCTATCTTTGTTCATTTTATGGCATACATGATCACATATGGCTTGACTTTTACCCACGGTCTTTTGAAGTTATTCTATCAGCTGATGGTGTTTGCAGCAAATGGATGAATTTGCATGCGAAGCGGCTTATGGCATTGAATATTGTACTTTCAGAATTTATTTGCTTTGAAGAACTTTGTTCTTGACTTTTTGGGCGTTTGATTGCAATTTTCTGGAAGTCCCTTTATTGTGGCAATAATTGTAAAGGCAATGATGCAGCTAACAGCCTTGGCCATAGATGCAATGTGATTTTGTGATAAATAATAGAAATGCGGCAATTCTTCATTTTAGTCTCAGTATCTTAATTAATTTCAGGAACTCTATTCAAGTAACTGAATTATGAACTTGCATTGTTTTAGCTCGTGTTTATAAGCTGATGTCTTCAGAGATGCTAATCAAATAATTTTTTTTTTTCCCTTTTTTTTTTTTTTTGGCTTTCATTTCTTTCAGGACATGCATGATATGAGAGACTGCTATGACAGATTACTTTCAGCTTCAGCAGCAACTGCAAACAGCATATACGGTATTTTCAGAGTCTCTTGGAACCATTTCGTTATCCGAGTGATAAAGACAGCCCTCTGATTTTGGTCAAAACTTAACCTTAGATACTTGTTTGTGTAAAATTTATTCGTCGTTTTTCTTTCAGTTTGAATGAAAAAGATATCGTGTTGTTTTCAGTAATGACTACAATCCAACAGCGCTGAATATATTGCTTAAACTAAAATTTAGGTCAATGCTCCCGCAACTTTTTTCCCTTCATTTTTTGGTTAGTGATGCTGTACAATGATATAAATAATGATATCCATCTAGTCTCACCACCTTGAATTGCATCAAACTGAGATGTTTGCAATCAGTATGATTACTTCACATGAATCCCATGTTGACAGTGTCTTTTGTTCAGATGCTATGTATTTTATTCATGCACAACAGTGCTATACTGTCGTTATTAATTTAAGGAACCTTACGTGCTGGGAAATCGTTTTCCTACTTCATCCTTTCTAAGAAATGTACTCTCATAAACTTTCTTACTCAGCAAATGAAGAGATATTTTATCCTACTCAATCCAGTTTGAGTCTTCTTATTATATATATATGTATGTATGTATGTATATTTTAATTTTTTTCTCTTTTACCTTTGCTTATTTTTATTTCTTGCAAATGTAATGAAATAAATCAATGACCAAGTCCAAACTATTTTCAGAATCATTGGAAGAAATGGGTGACTGTCTTCTTGAGAAAACGGCTCTCAGTGATGATGAAGAAAGTGGTAAGCAGAAATTTCTTCATACATATATACCACAGAAAGTTTCTTCAGTAAAAGGAAAATGATGTGGTTGTAACATGTATAGAGCATTTCAAACTCAGCCCTATTGGAGTGTACCAGGTTGCAAAATATTTATTATTTTCCCCATTACCCTCTTTTCCCTAATGTCTGTGAATAATGATGAAGGCCCCTGCAGAATATTTATGAATGCATATAGATGTTGCTTGTGTATCAAACAATTTCACTTTGAGACTTTCATATTGTGTAAAACATTAGTTAATTCTTTTGTTTCCTCAGAACTAGTTCACCAAAGAGGCTAGATAATGAAAAACTGTAATTGGAATTATCAAGCAAGTTTTGTTCTTTGATTCTGCTACTGTTTAAATAAATTTTCAGAATATGTAATATGTCTCTGATTCACACTCTCTCTCTCTCGCACTTTTTGGGTTATCTTTCGTTCATGTTGTCGATTTGGACAAAATTAAAATACACGGGCAACATCCCCTCCCCCAAAAAATAGAATAAATCATACTAATTGCTGTCATTGTGCAGGAAAAGTTTTGTTAACTTATTGATGGTTACGTGAGTATTTAACGCTTTATATGAATGGCTTTCAAACTTTCCCATTTGATAAACCTCTATAATTTGTGTTTCGGTGCTCTCATGTATTTTAGACAATCACAATCCCATCGGAGTCCCTTCTTAATGAACTACACATAGTTGAGGTACATTTGCATGGATTTTTTAATTTTATTGTTTTGACCCAAGGGTAAATTTCAGCTACTGTCCCCAACCTTTATTTCTTGGCGTTATTATCCTCAATCTTTGATAAATTGGCACCCGTTCTCCTCAATGACGGTTTCCGCCCAAATTTTCTTTTAAGCAGAGATAAAATGACTAATTTGCCCTTGCACTTGAACTCGAGGAAAACTAGATAAGAAAAACAGAAGAAAAAAATGAAGACAATGAAAACTAGTTACTTCTTTAAGCAGTTCCCAATCCAACCCACCAATGGCAGCTAGAGTTCTTAGTTCCTCTCCAACCCACAAACACCACCACCCACTGCTGCAACTCCCAACCACCATAGCAAGATCTGAATCATTAACTACTTTTTTTTAATTGAAATTATATTTGGTGCCACTAGAAGAATGGGAGTTTGTGGAGTGGATTCATGGGTTTGTGCAGTAAAACAAATGGATTCATGGTTTTGTGTGGTGAATTGAAATGGTATTCTGAAACTGAATCATTTACTACTTTGTTTAAATCGACATTATATATGGTGCCACTAAAGAACTGGAGTTTGTGAAGTGCATTCACGGGATTGTGTAGTACAGCAAATTGATTAATGGGTTTTTTCTTTTTTTGCAGCATTTTTTTTCCCAATAAACAAATGGATTCATAGTTTTGTGTAGTAAATTGAAATGAAACTGCTGGATATATCTTTAGTGGTGAATTTGAAAACATGCGCAGTAAACAAAAATCGATTTGAACATCTGGTTTTGAGTTTTTTTTATATTAAAATCCAAATAAATCTGAAAACACATGCCAGTGGAATGGATCTGAAAGTGGGGAGGGTGGGATTGGGTAGGGTTCAGTTTTCTTCTATTGTTTTATTTTTTTTGTATTTTTTTGTTGTATATGAAATTTAAGGACAAATTTGTAATTTTACGTCTTCTTAAGGAATGTTTCGAATGTTAACTGCCGTTGAGGACTCTAGGTGCCAATATATCGAAGATTGATGACAATAATGCCCAGAAATAAGGTTTGGAGATAAAGGTGCAAAACGTGTAAACATTGGGGACGGCGATTGCAATTTATCCTTTAATTTTATTAATTGAACTGTTTGTCTTTATTAACAATTTCATCAATAATTCCATCATTATTTTGCTAGTACATTTTGCTGGGAATTACCATTTTAAGGAGTGAGCAAATTTTTTGTTTTGCTTCTTTTAAGGAGAAGATAGGGTCTGATTAATATCCTTCAATGCCGGCCCTGAGACTCTTCCTGGTATCACTAGAAGCAATTGATCCTTCAACAATTTTGCCTCATTTTTTTGAATTGTCCTCTGATTTTTCTACTATTACCTATTTTTCGTTTGTAATCCATTCACTGTGGTCTTGTTTATTTATCATAGTAGTGTGCAGCTGTGGACAAAATACCTTCAATACCTTAACTTAAACAGAGATATTTAACACTCACTTTTGCTTCTTTACATGCATTTCATATCTTTGGCCGTTCATTGTTGAGGATAATTTCTGTTTCTCAATTATTTTTTCCCTTCGTGCGGGAGATGGAGAGGCGATGTGATAGGAAATTGTACAAATTAATTTATCTTAAGATTTCACTTCCGCCACACCTCTTGACTACGTTTTTAACTCTTGATACACAACTTGCAGGGACGGATATGAAGAGATAATGAAGAAATACAAAGAAAAAGGGAGATTGAGAAATAGTAGTAGAGAATGCTTTTCCTCACACCAATTGCAACTAGCCCGTGATGAATATTATGAGGAAGCAAATGTATTAGTATTCCATATGAAGTCTCTAAAGCAAGGACAATCCCGTAGTCTTCTAACACAGGCAACTCGGCATCATGCTGCAACAATTGGTGATGGAGAATTGACCTTTGACTATTGACAAATTAACCCAGTGGTAGAAGTCTCTACATTAGCACACTCAATGGAGGTAGGACTTGAACTTGTCTTGATACCAAGACAGGGTAACTGTCTACTGGTTATGCATTATTAATAATTTAATATGTAGTGTACATAATTGATTTCTTCTGAATAATTGTTGATGAAGATTTCGTCATCAACTTACCGAAAATACCCATATTTTAAACATAAAAGTAGAAAATAGATTTTAATATATTTTCTTGCAAGAGTTATTAGTTTCAAGGTAAGAAAAATTTGAATATGTTGGAGAAAATCTCATTTTTGGGCGAAAATATTAAAGTATAAAAAAGACTAGTGTATTTAATAATATAAACAATTATTCTGGTTCTCTCAGTCATATTGAAATTCCTCTCTCCAATATTCTAATTCTTCTCTTATTTCATTTTTCTCTTCTTTCCCATTTACATGACTTGTGCTTTGAGTTTCTGGCGCCATGATGTATCTTTGGTGCTGGATGAGAAATCAAAATTTTGTCGTAGATTCCGAAAAAGATGAGGAGTAAATTCAGTAAGAGGTCAGAGAAGCAAAATATACAAGATCACAAATGAAGACTGCTTGTGGCTGCTCCATCCAGTTTACTATCAAATAGAAAATAAGAATTACTTAAGGCATTGGTTATGCACACGTTTCTTATTAAGCCTACGCCAGCTTTGGCTGAAGGAACATATCCACCAGTTTTCCTTTGAAACAATCAAATTAGTGAAGTACTATAGGACTGTAAAATAGAGAAAGAGCTTCATCTAAACTCATATGGAGCAATCTCTTAAAAAGATTTGAGTCTTGGTGGTTTAATTATGGAAATGGTTCTTGATGGAGCAGAGTGGAAATCATTGAATATTAATTCTTCATGCACTTGCACCCACAACAACAACTTTCAAATGGAGATAGGTTAGCCTTTTCTGATTGTTGACGTGCATTTATAAGATGTGTAAGCATTTATAAGATGTGTAAGTGCTGGTCTTGTCTGGATTTTCTATCATTTTATCTTTGCATAACGAACCAAAACACCTTGGTTTTGATGTGCTTTACACATTGTGAACACACTGCGCATTGCCATATATGGTTAATCTAGTAATCTTTTTTTTTTTTTTTTTTTTTAAATTTTTTTCCTTGTAGTTGGATAACATTGATACTGCATCTCCTCTTAACATCAAATATGGTGCAGCAAAGGTAAAGATCATTTACTGTGTTTTACCAGGGTAGCTTTGCCCCTGATCAGGGCCGGTCTTGTGATTGTCGGGGCCCGAGGCAAAGCCTAAAAATTGGGCCCCCCTCCCAAAATCATCGTAAATGCAATGGATATATATATATATATATATATATATATATATTTGGGTAATTGAACTAAGGCTATGGGCATTGGATTGGATTTGAGCTTGAATTTGTGGGCTGCATTTCTGCATCACTGGGTCTGGTTTAAGTTCAACTATAAAAGGGAAAAAAAAAATAAATAAAAATAAATTCTAGGCCCAAAGTGAGGCCCCCCTAGATGTTGGGCCTGAGGCATAGGCCTCATTTGCCTAGCCCCAGGACCGGGCCTGCCCCTGACCCCATCTTCTATTTCCTCCATCTCAAAAATTGTAAACCTCTTTAAACGTCTTTATATGTATGTATGTATGTATATTCCATATTTCCTGCATACAAATGATTTATTTTTATTTTTTTATTATTATTTTTTTGTCTTACCCTCTGAACTTGTCTTTATTTTAAGTTTTTGTTGGATTACTTTAAAAGTAGTTCCACTTTTCTAAAATGAACTTTATAATGTGATATCCAGAAAAGGGAAATAGGATGCTAACATTGGATGTAGTAATGTTTATTCCATGTGTGAAGCACACAATTGTATCTATTATTCTTATCTGTGGTATCGTGTACATTTTCACTCAAATTATCAGGTCAGGTGAAGTGCATAGGGACCTAGATCACCAAAATCAACATATTGGAAGTGCATGTTTACGTGGTTGATGTCCCTCACTGTCTGGCATGTCATGTTCCTTCTCTATCCAGCTGATCAAATGCCTCGGAAATACCTTCTTAATGAAATTGAGACTGCATATTATCATATTTCAAAGCTATTGCATAATATATTGGGTGATCTAGAACGTCCTAATAGAAGATTCTAAGTGGTGTGATGACACAAAATAAGTTGAAAGTATTATAAAAAAACATAATATGTGGCTCAAAATATATGTAATTGGGACCATGGAGAAGAGTTATTAACTTAGATTTTAATTTGTTTATCCTAATATGAAGTCGTGAATGAGGAGAAAGGTTTGCACAGTCCACACCTTGAACCAATTGAACTTGACCTGGCATGAATGTGTTTATGCGTGTATGAATGGAATTGATTGACTAGCATGTTTGCTATGCATCTATTTGTTTTTAGCCAGATTATTTTATTTTGTTTTAAATGAAGAAATCATCACCAACTTTAAATTTGATGGACTTAAGCATGTAGAATATTTTAGAGGCACACTACTTGCCGGAAATGAAGATCACCGCCATTCATGAAATCTGAAGAATAGAATTGTGAACTCCACAGCCAATGAAAGAATTCTCGATAAAATTGTAGGCAACAAACCAGCCGACCATTTCATCTTCTCAGTTGGCAGATTGAAGACACTAGAATTTTCCGGTTTTGCTAAAAGCTCACTACCATTCTAGAATTCTCTAGGGTGAAAAATTATAAGCTAATAAAAGGAGTTTGTGAAATTTTTATAAAGCTTGTTTGATTATGTGTAGGTAAATCAAGTCACGATGAGCAACTTACAAGCGGTTGGCGGAGTAAAGAAGCTCAATAATCAGAATTACACTATATGACAAACTTGTATGGAGTCTCATATCTCCAAGGGCAAGATTTGTGGAAGGTAGTTGGCGGAATTGACATGATGCTGCCAGAGGAGGCCGAAGTTTTGAAAAAGTGGAGAATCAAAGCGGGTAAGGCTTTGTTCGATATAAAAACAATAATCGAAGAAGAATTGTTGGAGCACATAAGAGACAAGACTACACCAAATGATGTATGGGATACTTTGGCTTCATTATCCTCGAAGAAAAATAACCCGAGGTTGCAGCTTTTGGAGAACGAGCTTCTCTTGATCACTTAACATGAATTAACAGTAAGTTAATATTTAATAAAGTTAAATATCTTTGTTGTGAAATTTCTGAATTAGACGCTTTAAGTAAGATTTTGGAGTCCAGAATGAGGAGAATAATCATACATGGTATGTTTATTGCCGCAGTACAAGGTTGGCCAAAACAACCTTCAGTGGTTAATCTTGAGAATTTGTTGACTGATCAAGAAGCGTTAACCAGACAAATGTTAGGAGTTTCGATAAAGAAAGAGGATGAAGAAGCATTATTTAGCTACAAAAGACGAGGTCAATTTCGTCAGCAAAATTATAAAGAATTCAAAGAAGATAAATTTAAAGGATAGATTGAAGGAGGCTACCAGACAAGGGGAGTTCAACAAAATTGAGACAAGAGAGGTAAAAGTTATCAACTATCTAATGACTCGTGTTTTGTATATAGAAAACGAGGTTATTATGCTAGAGACTGTTGATTTAAAAAGGGGCCAGCAAAAGTCAATATAGCAACCTTCAACAAGGAAGATAAATAAACTAGTGAAAAAGAATGGGATGTTGAGGCAACCACAGCAACAATTGAATAGTCTCAAGAAGAAATTTAATTCAAATTTAAAGGATGAATCAGTGTTGATAGTAGTCTTGCTTGAGAAAATGGATTGTGAAGATGATTGGACTGATAACTCAGGAGAAGATGATTTGATTGATGATTCAGGAGAAGATGGTTGGATCGATGACTCGAAAGAGGACATCGTGTTTTATGAAGAATCTTTAGGGTGGACTCCGCAGAGGGAGGAATTATCAAAATTAGAAGAGATGTTTGAAACGCAGACACCGTAGAGAATGGAACTGCTAGATTCAAAAGATATGTTTGAAATGTAGACACCGCAGAGAATGGAACTGCTAGATTCAAAAGAAGTATATTCTTTGGAGACACCGCAAGGTATGAAGCACACATCAAAGAGGGTAGATCTACTAGATTTACATAAAACAATAGAGGTACAAGAATCAAGTGATGAGAAGTTTACTGGCGCAATACAAAATTCTTGGCAAACAGGTGTGATTCAAATAACACCGTATGAAATTAAGCTAAGTCAACAAAAAACAATTGAGGTACGTACAAATTTACAATCACAAATAAGAAAATCGGGTAGACATGAGAATTCAAGTACCAAGTATACCAATCTAAAAATTGATGAAGAGGGAAGCATGAAAGAGTCAATTGCATTGAATAAAGGGTTGGAAATATTAAATGAAGAACCGATCACTTCAAAATTCGTCAAGGCAAAGTTGGAGTGATGAAAAAGAAAAGATTTAAAATGAAAAGTTGGTGCTGAATGGGAGAATTGAAGAAATCATCACCGACTTTAAATTTGCTGGACTTAAGTATGTAGAATATTTTAGAGACACATTACTTGCTGGAAATGAAGACCACCGCCATCCATAAAAAATCTAGAGAATAGAAAATTGTGAACTCCATAGCCAATGGAAGAATTCTCCAGAAAATTGTAGGCAGCAAACCCACTGACCATTTCATCTTCTCAGTTGGCGGATTTAAGACACTAGAATTTTCCGGTTTTGCTAAAAGCTCACTACCATTCTAGAATTTTCTAGGAGGAAAAATTATAAACTAACCACCGACATACTAGAAGGAGACCACCGACTTTGCATGTGTATATATATATGTGTTGAGTGTGTGCATGTGTGGTCAAGAAAAAATGAGAAGAGAGAATAATGTGTGAAAAGAGAAAGAGGCTGAAGGAGAGTGGTGTGAGAGAGTAGTATTTGAGTGAATTTAGCATTAAATAGACTTAGTAGATGGTGAGAGAGTGCTCATTCAATAAAAGTTCAGGTGGAGTGTTCTTGTAAAAGCAATTCTATATTAATAAACTTATTTTTTTGGTGTTTAAACTTCACATTAAAGGAGTTCCCTGCTTTAATTTTTTGAGTAATGTTACTTGTACATAATTATTTACAGATTGGTGTAAAGAAAAAGAGAAAAAAGCAGTTTGGAGAAGAGAGAAAAAATAGGAGAAAAGGAAATCAATAAAGTTGTTTGTATATAAACAGTTACAAAATGGTTTATATACAGATGATGTGTTGAAAAGAAAGTGAGGAATTTTATTTTTTTATTTGGTTGAAAAAATTCTGATTTAATCACATCTCACCACATAATGTATATGTAAACCTATTATGCAAATGTAGCACAACCGATTAAATTTAATAAAATGACATGTCATCAATCTGTATACCAATTTGTAAATAATTATGTACAAGTAGCATTATAGTAATTTTTTTGGGTTGCTAATTATGCAATATAATTGCAGCATTCGCTAAGCAACTGAAGCTGATTCCTTCTTTCATATGTGTTTGCAGGAAAATTTAGAAAGAAATCCGGGTCAAATTTATTTTTCCTACGGCAGAGAGTTTAAGACAATTAGCAAATCAGCACCTCTCCTTCCTGAGAATAAACTCAATCTGGCTGGGCGTCTGTCGCAGTTGCGGCCTTCACCATCATACAAGTTCACATCATATGTGCTACCCACGCCAGTGGAGACAAAGGACCCAGGTTTTTGTAAATCAGGTGGTGAAGTTCCTCAAACAAGACAAGCTAACATGAATTTGTGGCATTCATCCCCTTTGGCGCATAACAAATATGAAAAGCTTGTGGCAATTCATAATCAGTGCTCAAAGAGAGCAACATCAATACAAGAGGCAGTCAATTGTCCCCTCCATTCTCCGATGGCCGCTCATCAAAATGGTTTGATCCAAGTGTTGCATCAAATTTCTCATCTAGTGGTTCTATTTTGTCATCAGGATATCCTCCATTTTCAGGGTCTCTTTTGCGCACTCCACTATCTCTACCCACATCGACTCCCAAATTGTCTTCAATTGTGTCACCAACTTTTGTGTCATCACCTAAAATAAGTGAACTTCATGAGCTCTCTCTGCTGCCGGCCCATTCAGCATATAAGATACCATCCAATCGCATTGCTCATTCAGGTCCCTTGGTACCTAAAGGTAATGAGCAAGCCCATATCAAAGTCTACACCTCCAATGCCACAAATAATTTCTCGTAGTTATTCCATTCCTTCTGGAGGTCAAACAGAAGTGGCATCTCCTTTTCCTTTAGAAGCTTCTCAAACTTCAAAGATGACCGATGATATTTCTTCACCTCCTTTAACACCAATTTCCTTACCAGATCACCATCCCCTACATCTAGATGACATCTTGGTCAGTTACACGAGAGGTAACTTTTGAACTAGTTTTCTAAATGATGTCCATCAACCTTCTTTTTCATTTTTAAGATTATAAATTGCAATTTGGTTAAAAAGTTGTTTAGAAGCTGGGTAATGAGCATGCTTCCAGCTTCCTTTTGGAACAGGGCAGTTCAACCATTTCCTTGACATTACTTTAGTTGTGCGTACTTGAGATTAAGGACATGTTCGGTAGTGATTATGAGAATTGATTTTTTGCAGGGGCGGATCCAACCTTTTCGGGTTGTGGGGTCAAAAATTAATGTGAAATTTTTAAAAACAATATAATATTAATGAAAATAAGTCAATACGTATTTTGACACTTTGAAAACGTCTTATAATTATATTATTATTAAGAATCATGCTACAAGTACATTGAATTTGACATTAAGTTTGACATTGTGTCACGTGACGACATCACATTGGACAATTTTTGAAAAAAACACATTTTTCCGCCAACTCCATTTGTGAAAACATTTGAAAACAATGGAATGTCAAACTCTATGTCAAGCAAACAATGTACAAGAAGCCTTATTCTATTATTAATATTGTTAAATGAATTTTGTTTTATGTATAATTTTGTTTGCCATGTTGTTTATGAATGTTGAGTTAACGACGAATAAATCAAATTGAATGTAGGAAGTGAATTGAAATAAAATTCACATTTAATTTATGAAGTAAAAGAAATTTAAGCTTAACGAAAAAGTAATTTGAAAGTAATTCAAATTACATTTAATTCGTAACAATTTTAAAATTTTTGATATCATTTCATATAAAATTTCCTAATAAAATGATGTAAATTATATTGAAAAATCTATAGTGCAAAAATAATAAATGTTAATGAATTAATTGAATTTTTTAAAAGAAAAAACGAGTTAAACGCTTTTTTTAGTACGTATGTTTGATACATGTTTAACTATTTTCAATATTTGTTTAGACCATTCGATATTACTAAGATGTAGTTTTTGAAACGAGCTTCTAGACGATGCAGGCGATTTCTGGATTTGGATAGTATACGATAACTGGCAAATTTTAAAATTTAGCATATTATCAAAATTTCGAAATACTAATTTGGAATAGCCTACTTTGATACATTGTAACTTATGCTATGGTTGATCATTTTGCACGTCATTAAGAAGCGAAAAACTAGGTCATAAGCACTTTGAAATGATATTAAAAATACAATGTTTCAACTTCATTTGGCATGTATTGAAGTAGGACGTAAAACGGTTAAAACGACTATTTTCTTAAAAAAAAAAAAATCGAAATTTTGTGTGTTATTTGATCCCACATGACTCCATGTGGGTCCGCTCTTGGAATTTTTTATCATTAGAGGGAAAAGTGGGTTTCCCTATAAGTTAGAAGGTAAAAAATGGCGACTGAAATAGTGAAATAACTGAAAAAAATTGATTTTTTTGAATGAAAAGTTGCTACCAAACGGGGGCTAAGGTTAATTCGGAGGAGTTTGAGTCTAAAATAAAAAGAAAAAGGTAAAATAAATTAGCCGTGTATATTATTCTACTTTGTTTTTATAATATGAATAATGCATAATCCTCTACTTTGAAGCGTGTAATTTTGATTAGTTAAGGGTATATTTGGTTTACTGTTTTTAGTTTTTAGTTTTGCAAAACATTTAAAATGTGTTTGGTTTGATATTTCTAAAAATACATTTTAGAAAACAAGAATAAATTTAGAATACAAAACTCAAAATGCATTAAATTTTGAATATTTTCAGTAAAAATTTTGAAAACACTTAAAATATGAAAAATAAGCATTTAAATAAAATTAAAAATATAAAAAATATATAATTCTAAACAAATAAAATTTCAAGATTTTAAAAGAATAAAATTTTAAAAATAAAATTGATAAATTCTAAAAAATAAAAAAATAAAATCTAAAATAAGGAATTTATAATAAAATAGAAAACCCAAATTCTGAAAAATAAAAAAATTATTTAAAACTTTAGAAAAATAAAATTATAAAAAATAAAAATAGTTCAAGATTTTAATAATTATATACACAAATTCTACAAAAATATTTAAATGAACACGCATAAAAATGTTATTTGTTTTTATTGTACTCTTTTAGCAAGAAAAAATATCATAAGATTCATTAACTTTAAAATGTATATATTATTTGATAATAAATATAAAATAATTTTTCAAAATTTCAAACCAAACATGTGTATTCTAATTTTCTGTTTTGAGAAATAATTTTTCAAAATTACAAATCAAACGTGTTTTTAGTAATCTTAAAACATATGCTCAAAATGGAAAATTAAAAATGAACTCCAAATTCAAAATAGAAAATTAAAACACAAACCAAACATGCCCTAAATAGTTTGTTCATTCATTGTTGCATTATTTTCACGAAAAATACATTAGATGCAATATCTACATTCAAATAAAGATATAGAAATGAAATACGATTTTGGATGAATGTAAGAGTTAATCTTAAAAAGATTTACAAGAAGAAAAGGTAAACAACTTGTTATATAGTCTGAACAACTAGGAACCACAATCTTGGAAATGTAACCATATTATAGCACGGATAGCTTTACAAATAGACTAATATAGATTAAAGAAGGTATAACTAAAAAGCCAATTAAAATTAATTTTTTGACTATTACTTCACTATCACAGTCATCATTTTTGAAATCTTCTCTTATATGTACCCACTTTATCTCCAACGATCAAAAAGTAATGATCAAAATCCTTACCAAATTAGCACATATTATAGATTCATTTGGATTAAAGAACAATACCAAGATGGAATCGAACTTCGAGGGTTCCACTAACTCCTATAACTGATAGATCTAGGGCAACTATGATGTCTCCATTCTCCATTATGTGATGCTCAAAGCAGGTTTCGCATCTTGACCAAGGTATTCTGGCATAATGGTTATGGATGTGGTGGTGACAACGACTTGGGCGATGCCATTGGTATACTTGTAACAGATCAATTTGGTGGCTTCGATGTCGTAGGTGGTGTTGCTAATTGAAGCGGTGGTGAGTTTAGATTCGATGTGGAGGTGGTGGTTCTGGCGACGATTTGAGTGGTGTTAACAGTGTCCTTGTGACAGATCAGCTCAATGGCGATGATGTTGTAGATGGTGTTGCTAGTTATGTAAGTGGTGGATTTAAGGTAGAGTTAGTGGTGGTTATGTATTGAGGGGGTGGTAAAGTGGAGGTTATGGCTTTCTAAATGTGATTTGTGGCTAATTTGTGACATTGATATTGTTTGTTATTGTGACTGATTTGTCATATGACGCGATACATGATTTTTGAAATTTCATAAGTTTTTTATTTTGAAAATATATTTTTGAAATTTTTGTAGTTATGTATTTTTTTATTTTAAAAAAAGAAAATATATATTTGAAATTTTTATAAAATGTGGAAATTACATCCCACCATATTTTTAAAGATCAATATTCTAAAATTATGGTGAAGGTTTCATTATTCCAAAATCAAATATTTCATATTTAATTATTAAATATTATAATACAAATTTCATCCAACTGTAATTATTTTCATTGCCCTCTTTTCTCTACATCTTTCCCTTCTTTCTCTTCGAATGCTGGCGACCATTCAAACTTCGGCAATGAAGGAGCTGCTCTAGTCGACACCACGCCACAAGCACCGTTGCCGCCTTCGTCGTCCAAGATGAGCACTGTTGCTTAAAACACAAACCCTAATTAATTTCCTTGTCTTTTTTCCATCCTTCTTTTTTCCTCTCTCTCCACCCAATCCGTCGGACTCGATCCCCCCTTTTGTAATGGCATCACACACGGCACAGCGGTAGTGGTGCCTTGTTACAAGCAGTATCGCTGCGTGTATCGAGTTGTCCCTGCCACTACACGTAGAGCTCCTGCAAGCATGCATCGACGTCGCTGTTGGACTGTTGTCTATCGTGGATTTAAGGAGGTCGTGGTGGTTATTGTTCATAAGGCGGTAGTATTAATGTAGTGGTGGTGGCGGCAGCTGCATCGGATTTGGGGATTTTTTTTTCTCGGTGTGATGATTATGGTGTGATTGAGATGGTGGTTATAATTTTTGGTACAGGAGGTAGTGCTGCCGCCTATGATGTTGATGGTGATGGCGTTGGTAGTGATGGTGGTCATTACAGTGGAAAATCAATGACGATGGTGATTTTGTGCTGTCTGGTGGTGGTGGTCATGACGATAGTGTTGCTGTTAGAGGTGATTGCGGTGGGTTTGGCACAGACGGCCGCGGTGGTGTTGGTTTTGCATTGCTCTGTGTGCAATGGTGATTTTGTGTGGTCTGTGATGGTGGTCCTAGGTCGGAGTCGGTAGCGATGGTTTTGACAAAGACGGTGGTGGTGGTTTTGCAGTTAGAGCAGTGGTGAGATGGTGGTAGCAAGTTTGATTGCCTGTAACCATTAAATTGGTTGATCTGTAATCAATAAACAATATATGACCAATAAAAATAGATGAATTATAACCAATAAATAATGTGTAACCTTAAAAATTGTTAATTTGTGATCGATATTTTAATAATTTGTGACTGTATAATAAAATTTTTCAGATACATGAGGTAGATAATGTGGTCCTGCCGATGTTAACTCTGGAGGATCTCAAAGACATGGGGATCAATGCTGTTGGTTCAAGGAGGAAAATTTACTCCGCAATTCTCAAGCTGCAAAAAGAGTTTTTGTGAGTTCTCAATGTTGTGCATGAATTGGTTTTAGCATTTTTGGTTTGTGGGCTTCCTCCTTTTCTTTCTAGTAATCTGAATAATGATGATATAATTTTGTTATGGCAACGTAGTTTTGGAGTTAGTGTTGTATTTTTGATGTTGTCATCTTACTAGGTGTTGTGAAATGAAACCGTCAATGTATAGAAAAAAGATGGCCAGGAAAGAAAGATTGACTTTGTTAGACTACTAAGTCCTTGAAGCATCTTAATTCAGTCTTATGGATGTTTTTGAGTTAAATCGATGGCATTCTGCTGTGATTTTTCTCAGAACCTGGCCTCTTCGATTGCCACAGGTGATGATTTTCTTTTCTTAACTGAGCAAGTGGTCCTAGGTCCCGGATTACTATTCTCCATCAATCAATGTAGTTGTTAATAACTAACTTGAATGACAAGGCGATCACTTTGCCTGTCTTGTTTGTTTACATCTATTTTGTGGAATAAGTTAATTTTTGTGGAAGTGGAACTTCTTGGCTTTAATTATGCACCAGGCAGTTTTTTTTCTGAACCCAAAATTCAGACTGCTAAATTGTTTTTAATTCTTTTCAGGAGCTAATGTTGACTAATGATTCTATTGAGTTGAGGTTTATAGGAGGACTTATGCTTGTTTTGTTAGAATATGCAATGTTTATTCTATATATTTCTTCATGATTGTGGAACTGCATCTAGCAAATTAACTTTTATGTCAACTTCACAATGAATCTGGCTAAAATTTACTAAAATTACTTGTTAGTTGTGGTGGCAGCCTGTTAGAAATGGATTAATTTCAGTAAATTAAGAGTACATTGATCTCTCACTGACCGCATTACTCCAGAGTCCCCCAGGCTGAGAGGCATCCATCTTGGATTTGATTTCTGGAAAAAAAAAAAATTGGTATTGTGAGCTGAGGTTTATTATAGTCTTGCACCGACCTTAATCGCTTTCGAATATGTAGTTAGATGTGACATTTTCTCACAATGATTCGTCGTGTTGCGCTTGCAGTTGAGAGACGTTGACTTGGCTTTCTTTGTGAAAGAAAATCGTGGACACAAATTTTGAAGTTAGTCAAAGAGGTGAAATCCGATGGGGTCTGCCAAATATGAGTTTTAGGGATTGAACTTTCTGGGGAGAAATGTTTCCCATTAGAAGATGATAGTGCTCATGCAGAAATCATTTGATGTCCTTTAATTGTTGATGAGTCATTTCAGCAAAAATAGCACCGAAGTTTGTTTTTCATTTACTATAGAATCAGGGAAGTGGGTTGTCATGTAAAAAATGATTCATTGGGTTTTTGAGAAATCTCGCTTGTAGTTGAGAGAAGTTGGCTTGGCTTTCTGTTTGAAAAAAATTCTTCATGCAAATTTTGGAAGTTAATGAAGGAGGTGAATAATCTGATGGGTGGGGAGGTATACTAATCTGATGATATCTAGATTCTGGGTTAGATAGATTGAAAGCGCTACTTGTGCCACAGGAGTGCCACTCCAAGGTATGCATTTGTAATTGCTATGTAGGACTTCAATTATCAACTCTTATATTTGCTTGATGTGGACCTATGTTATTGGCTACGGCCTACGAGGTAACAGTGGAGGAAATGGTAAATTCGTGAGTGTAGAGTAATAGCAAGTTTTGTGAAATGTACATAGTATAACACTATAACTTGCTTCTTTTTTGCTGGTTCACATCCATGGAAAGCAGAAAGGAAACCGAAAGGTTGCGAACCTTTTGGCCACTTGAGAGTGTTGAACTTGGACGAAAATAATGGATAAATAACCTACGAAACGCTACTCGAGCTATGCTAAATTTCCAATCTATGGAGATTAATATAAGACATTATTCTTCCCAACCTTGCTCCGTTACATTGCTTAAACAACGTTATTAGTTTGTTTGCTGTGAGTTGTTGTATTTTTATTAGTGGGGCAGATTGTTATATATTTTAGCCTTTAATACAACAGGTTTCTATTTGATGTAATGTTTTTATCAATTCAACACCCAACTAATACTTTTGTGTGTTTACTATACTCTGCATGTATGCAATCTTCAATTTTACTGGCAAGTGGCAGGCTAAATAAACCTATGCAATCAAGTCGATCGTACTAGGGGAAATTTCTACTGTATCCATTTTATCATTATATTCTCAATCTCAACGTTTGTGGTCTATCCAAGTAACAAATATTATACATCGTCTAGTCTTTGTAGACAATCTAGTTGGGGGTCACACCGTCATAACATTTGAAAGTGGATGTTTGATCTAAGCTTTTCCATTCCACCCTCGATGGAGTCTCTGCATACGAATGCACGTATGCTCTCCTCTACAATGCATTAGCCTTCAAATGATACAAGGGGAATTTATAGTGTTACATACGAAATGACTTCCATTGGATGAAGATGCACGTGGCTTCGTCCCCTTAACTGAAAAATTCAATCTTAGGCTTTAATGTGAACTCACTCGCCTGTGGTGCACTTAATGCTCTTACAGAGAGCAACCATAATACAACCTAAATTGGCAAAATTTTGACATTCCACTCATTACAAAGATCACATCAATCATTCCAAAAGGATTTTATACATAAATTCATGATCTTCACGTATGGGTCGTCACTTGCTCCGGTTGAGCTTCATCATTTCGACGGATAGATGCGCTTGAGCCTTGGGTGGAGCTTCGAGGCTTCGTTGTTAGCATGGGACTACTTCGGTGAGTATGGCTTCGGCACTTCGAACCTACAGACTCCAATAATTCACGTGGCTTCATCGCAAGGGACTTTAGGGGGTCGGTCACGTGGAGCCTATGTGACGAGGTGTAACAATAGTCCCCCAAGTCTATATATGGTTATTTATATCTTATGTGAACTTAATACTTATTCATATCATGTGTAGACTTCAATATTAAGTAGAATGTACTTTAGGCAAGTTTTCCTGTCATGTTTAGATTTTTGACGAACACAATAGTTCCCCAAATCCAAATATAGACATTTGTGTCATTATTGGAGTTCAATTTGAACCTATTTCTTGTATGTCGTTTTATCATTATGCAGTGTTAAATTGTTGAGGCTTTCTGTTTTAATAAAAGCTAAATTTATTTGAGCCAAAACAGGAAAATGCTAAACAGCTGAGGCTCCTTTGCTTTGAGAGAAGCTGAAATTTATTTGAACCAAAGTAGGAAAGTGCTGAACTGTCGAGGTTTCTTTAGTTTGAGAGAAACTGAAATTTATTTGAGTCAAGTAGGAAAGTGTTGAACCATTGTGGCTTCTTTATTTTGATTGGTAAGGCTTTGATAATGGTGCCATTGATTTGATATTTTTGCAGTTACGAAGAAAAGACAGCTGAAGCATTTGGCTTTTGATACATGTATGGTTGTTATATTTAAAGCGCAATGATGGCCACATTGTAGTAAGGTCGACGCAGTGAGGCTCATGTGTGAAGAACATATATCAATTTGAAGTGTTAACAAAAGAAACCGTTTGAATTCAACGTCTCAGATCTAGCAAAAAAACAGACGCTTCGAATGGAATATATTTTGATCCAATGGTTGTGATTCATTTCCTCTTTGTATAAAAGCTAAAAGCCTACCATTGTTTTGGCCTTCACCTTTGCAAAAAATTTCAAAACTCTTTAGCATTTACAAATTTTTTCAGCAATCTCCATTCTTAGGTGACACCACGTTCTTCGAGCTTTTCTTGATTTAGATAACTTTTGTAAGATTCTATCTTCCCATTTTTTCCATCTTCTCTTTCAAGTTTAATGGCTTCTGGGTTGAGTGCTAGTAGTGGTAGGGTAATAATCGCCAGGAGTGGCAAATAGGCTATGCTTGGTAGGTTTGAAGAGGGTTATTGGGCCATGAGTGTGGGTCCCATTGATTACGAGGTAGGGTGCGGGTTGCAAAGATCCCTGTTCATGAAATTATTTCTTTCGATTTAAAATTCACCGCAAGTGTACGGTTCGTTAACAAGTAGTAAATGGACTATGAGTCCAAGTATCGATCCCACAAGGATTAAATTAGTTCAAATCAACCTATTATGACCTTAACCGAAACACGAAAGTAAAATTGATGTTTTGTACTTTACTAAAAGGATGTAAATTATGATGCAATTATGAATGAAAAATTATATTAAATGCAAAATAACTTGGATACAATTTAACTCGAATTTATGAATTAATGAATTTACTAACACACTAGGATCACGAATTCCCAAGCAATACCCGTTCAATTTTCAATCATGCAAATTTGACACCCAATTCCACAAAAGATGAATCAATATTCCTATTTTAGTTTAGCAATCTCTCTCAAGCAATGCCAAACCTATCCCAATATATGATTCGACTATATTTCTATGACGAATATTAACATACCGAAATGCATTATAAATTCATGAATATCCCATAATTCACACAAAACATAGATGTATATTTCTATCTCCTATCGGACCCTATGATAATTTATACTATGTCGAACCTATTTTCTTTCTTTCGAATGCATAAAATAGGTCACCACAATCATACAATTACGTGCACAATAATCATATGGAAATAAAAACGTAATAAACCATTCATTTCTGAAATATGCGTTTAAAGATGTCAAATATCCAAATCAAAAATCAAACGTAATATTACAAGGTTCATCGATCTCCTAGCAATGAAAAATCTAGTCCAACATGCTAAAAAGAAGAAAACATAAAAATAGTTGAAGAAACGTCATCACCCGATCGAATCTTCACTTGGCGCGATGTTGTCTTCTTGTTCTTTTCTCGTTTCTCCTTCAAAATCTCTCAAAAACTTGTAAAAACGATGTCCCTTGCATTCTGGTCGAGTTTTTGTTTATATAGGACCCTAAAAAATTGTTTCCATAAGAGTTTCGATGGAAAAAGAAAACTGCGTTTTTGCCCTAATATTGCTCTATGCGGTCGCATAGAGTAATTTTTTTTTGCCTTTTTGTCTTCGGTATGCCTCACCTATGGAAGATGTGCATTTTGGTCCTCCTACTTGAATCCTTCACTTTTTGGCATCTTTTTTTTCATTCTTTTCATTCCATCATCCCAAGATATCGTCAATTGGAAATTGGCTTAATCAATTTCTCGATTTGTTCATCGGGTCAACTTTTGGATAATTGCACCTTGGTCCCTGAACTTTCACTTTGCGTCATTTTAGTCCTTTTTTGCGTCTTTTCTCCTGAATTTCACTATGTTTATCATTGTTCCCTACAATTCACAAATGTAATGAGATTAAGTCACAATTCAATCATTTTACTCATTATTTAGTTATGTTTGTGACCTAAATAAGTGTGCAAAAACACACTTATCAAACCCCCCAAACTTGAGCTATTGTTTGTCCTCAAACAAGACAGTGACTTAATTCTGAACAAACATGGCTTAATACCCTGTTGTGGCTCAGGATTGGACTAAGTATTTGACTTTATGAAAATTTATCTGTACAAATATGACCTCAACCTTTACCTGTTAAATGCAAATTGACGTGTATGTGTGAATTTATGCCAACATATCAGGTTCATGATGAATTTGAGTCTTGACCCCAAGTGGTTAAATATATCCTTACTCGCTCAAGAGATACACAACCCTCCAAACTTATTCTTTTCACTCAATTATCCCGGGGTGGTATCTTAAAATTAGGAATTTACATAGCTGTAGTCCTCATCCTCTTGTAGTTTGGATTTAGTCTTATTATCACAAGTTTACATTTCAAAAAGTAAGGCTCTCCTCAGTTTGATTGCTTCGACACTCAAGATTAAACTAGGTTACTTGCCTAACCTCAGAGGTATAGTCTCTTCAACCAAATGTCTAAGAGTTTTTCGTCATGTTATTGTCTCTCTTATGTTTTTCTCACCTTTCTTTAATTTCTGATTTATTGTCATCTTCTCATTTGCTTTCTATATAACCAATGTAATGAGCTTTAGGCCGGCAATTTCCAAACCAGTTGGCTTTAAGGCACCAGGTTTTAAACCCTTGCAGGCTTATTTACTTAAGTTAAAAAAGCTCGATCAGATAACTTTTTTATTAACTTCTTTCCCTCTTGTTTTCTATATGACCCATGTATCGAGTTTTAGGCCGGTGACTCCCAAGCCAGTTGACTTTAGGACACCAGATTTTGAAATATCCTTACAGGCTTACTTGCTCGAGTCATAAAGGCATGAAAAGAAGTGTTTTATTCTCACATATTAATTTTGTGCCCTTTGTTATTTCTATGCATTTAGTTTCCAAAACCAACCCCTAATTTAAGATTTTCACCCACTCTTCATCCCACTGGTCTAGACAATCCACACTATAAATTTCATGCACGGAGCCCCCGCTCATCTCAATGCTTTCCTATAATAGCTCAACTATCACCAAATTGTCTTAAGGTAGTTTATGGGTTAATTTAATAGAGGGTTATCATTCTTTTCCTATGTTATGCTCAAAATTCAGTCATTCTCCTAATATGTCAAGCATGAATAGCGTGCATAGATAATGTCAAGTGTTGCATCAACAAGTATTAGTTAGTCTAATTAACACCCGATCCAAAGTTTTGCAGTTTAAACTAGTCCAATAATATCATCATAGCTAACAAGGTTATCAAGCCCACACAAGCATGCATGAAGAGAATTTAAAACCAATTGAATAAAATGCAATTTTTTTAACACTCATCATGCACACATTATGTAGTGATGTAAATCAGTGGAAACTAGATAATGATAAACACAGATAGAGATTTAAAATTATGTCACCCTCCCCAAACTTAGTTAATACATTGTCCTCAATGTAAAATTAACAAAAGATTAAAGACATAATTTTAAGGACAAAATGAAGAAGAAAAAACAAAATGAGGTAAACAGTATTCCCCTGATCAAAATGGTGACTGTGAAGGAATGTTGGGTCCGACAGCATCATCTCCAGGAGGGGACGGCAGGCAGGCTAAAATCTCTCGTAATATAGCAAACTACTGGGTCTGCTCCGCCTGCATAGCCTGAACCCGTGTCTCCAAACTCCCTAGATAGTCCTAAGTCTCGTTTACCCGCCACTGTATACCATCCATCCTGCCAATGTACATGCCCAATCGTCCATCAAAGGTACTCATCTGTCGGCGTGCCGTGAGGGACTCACTGCTGGCAGTGGAAGCGAAGTTTCGTGCAGATGCCATATCCGTCTGTACCTGCTGGATGGTGGTACTCAGTGCTCTAAAGGAGTGCTGAAGTTGCTGCATGTCTTGGCTGTGTCCAGTCATAGCGGCAAACATCTGCCTCAATAACTGGGTGTCCATGTCAGTCGGTGGTGGCGGAGCTTGTGGCATTTCAAAGTCCTCAGCTGCTTGCCCTTCTTCAATCTGTTGCTGTAGCCAGCGCCGTTTTCCAACTTCTGTTGATGTTTAATTCTGGCTCGGTCCTAGGCCTCGAGTGTGAGGCGCTTGATAAATGGACTTGGTTTCTCCGGTGCATCCCCGGGCTGAACTTGTATGCCTAGAGCTCTACAAACCCCACTTATCAAGCTCGGGAACATTAGTGAGGTGTGCCTGTCACCCCATGCGCCTGTAATGTGTATCTGATTGTAAATGTAAGTGGCCAAGTCAATCTTGTTGCCCTGAACTAAGTGATGAACCCCACCTTCTGATTTGTGAATGTCGTCCTATGGGAGATGGGCTAGATGTTGTGGCAGATGAACAACCGTAGGATGGCTATAGAAGGAGTGAGGTCAATCTGATACCAATCAGCAGTAGGGAGAGGCCAAGCATTTTCACATCCCAATAAAACTTTTGCAACCTCAACCCAGTTGAAATCATACGGGACTAGGACTACATTAGTCCAGGTGAGCTGATAGTAGACATGAATTACCTTAGGTGAAAACATGATCCATTTTGCCAGAACCCATGTTTGATGCAGATGGTCAGATCCAGGTGTGTCTATTTCAGCATTGAAGTTTGCAAAAAATTTCTGCACCAAATTTTCATAGATGGGGTGTGGTCTTTTAAACACTTTCTCCCAACCACAGTTGTGGATTAAATACATCAATTCAAAACCCAGGAAATCATCCAACTTAACTGGTCTTTCGGGGATGAGTGCCCACTCACTAACAATGTTGGCATAACGGGCTGCTTGATCTAAAGATAGAAAATGCCGGACACCCCATTCGGGCTCCCTAGTCCGGGCTATGCCAGAAGTGCAACCAACCTTCTTCTTTCCTTTTGATGTTCTTTTTGGAGGCATCATGTAAAGGTAAATGAATAGTATTCATTAAACTTCATTTTGAAAAACGAGAGGGGGAATGAGATTAGTAAGATATGTATTTCACAAATCCCCCAAACTTGCTTCAACATGCATATAGAACTCCTTGGTATGCACTCATCAAAACATGACATTCAAGGTAGTGTAACTAGTGTGCCAAGATGAAAAACTGGAAATTTAGGCCGAAACAAGCACATTTGAAAAATTGGACCCATGACCAAGTTCGCATGTTCGACCCTGGATATCATTGAAAAATATCGAAATTTCCTCAAGCAATCTCCAGGCATATGAAAGTATTCAATGAGATCTACCATATATTCAAATTTCAAAGCAAATGGACTTCGTTTGGTATGCCATATAATGGTGTAAAGTAGGGGGCGTAAGATGCCGTGACATGCTGTGACCTAGCCATGTGCCTACGTATTGCAAAATGGATGTGATGTTTTACATGTGTTTATGAATGTGACATATGCAAACTTCAAGAAAACATGCTCAAGAACGTAGAAGGAAGGCAAAATAACAATTCACACACAAAATGAAGCTCAAAACATCCAAAAATGAGTCAAGTGACCCGTGAGTAAGTGAACATTTTCACCTCGGACATCATCGAGAAAACTCAAAATTTTCCTGAGCAACCTCTAGGCAGATGAAAGTACGTAGTGTGGAGTGGCACATATTCAAATTTCACGCTCATTCGATGTCGTACGGGTACTTAACGCAAGGGACGAAGTGGGTGTTGTGAAATGACGTGAGCCTAGCACGTGTGTCTACATGTGTGTGTTGGTATGAGAGTGTTTCGAGCTCAATATCTATGGCATTGGATCACCACATATAAGGGAATGCGTATAGTCAGATTGTCCAATGCGAGATTGCTCAAAATGCACAACAAACTTCACTTAGGCAATTTTGTGAACATGTAGCATGCATGCTTTATAAACCCTACAAAATACAAAATTGATAATGGCCCACCAATCCACAACACAAACCAAGTTTAACATACACAAAACCAATGACTACCATTGCCCATTCTCCACAATCAAGTTCAAAAATTCTTGTCTCATTACGAACCAAAGTAGAGAAAAAAAGAATACATAAAGAAAAAAAGGAAAACGAACATACCTTGAATTCACTAAGGAGGTGTGGAGTGTTGATTTATGGTGTCAATGGGGTGGGGAGTTGAGTGAAATGTGGAGTGTGATTCGTGTGGGAGTGTGGTGTGTGAAGTGTGGAGTGTGTGAAGCAAATAGGGAAAAATGAGGGAGGGAATGGCTCGGTCATGGTTTAAAACCATGACCTACTATGTGGCCACATAGTACTAAGCTATGCGATCGCATAGTACTAAAATTTTCCCCCAAATGATACTCGGATAGTTGCTATGCGGTCGCATAGACATTTTGTCTATGCGATCGTATAGACCAATTTTAAAAAAAAAGAAAAAAAGAAAAAGTACTGAAATGCAAAAAGGTATTTCCTCGTAAATTTTTTTTGAAATGCGTGAATCATACTCCCAAAAATCCAAAATCATTTCAAACTCACTGAACATGTGTGTAATGCCTTGGAAACTATGTGAACTATAATTTCGTCCTATTAACATTATATGGATGAACGATGACCTAGAAAAATGCAAATGTGAAAATTAAATAATTCTAAAAATAATGTGAGAAGTAAGCTAAATAGAAGGATACAGTGGGTTGCCTCCTACCAAGCGCTAGGTTATAGTCGATAGCTCGACTTTACCGTATTGCATCATTCTGGTGGTCTAAGATGAACGGTAGACTTTTCCTTTGAAAAATCGCTACCCCAATAGTACTTCAAATGCTGTCCATTGATCTTGAATGTCCCCTTGCTGTCGTGAGTAATCTCAACTGCCCCATGTGGAAATACCTGTGTAATAGTATACGGACCAGACCACCTCGATCGCAGCTTTCCTGGAAACAGCTTAAGCCTAGAGTTGTAGAGTAGCACTTTTTGCCCCACCTTAAATTCACGCCTCTGAATGTGCATATCATGCCATTTCTTGGTGCGTTCTTTGTAGAGTCTTGAATTCTCATAGGCTTCCATTCTGAGCTCATCCAACTCATTAAGTTGTAGTAGACGTTTTTCACCTGTAGCCTTTAAGTCCAAATTCAATTTCTTCATTGCCCAGTAAGCATGGTGTTCTATCTCAAGAGGTAAGTGGCATGCCTTCCCAAAAATCAGTAGATATGGTGACATTCCTATAGGGGTCTTGAATGCAGTCGTATAGGCCCACAAGTCGTCGTCCAGTTTCTTAGACCAATCTTTTCGTGACGAGCTTACTGTGACTTCGAGTATTCTCTTCAATTGCCTATTGGACACTTTGACCTGTTCGCTGATTTAGGGCTGATATGCAGTGGCTACATGATATTTAACATCATATTTAGTCAACAATTGTCCAAACTGGCGATTGCAGAAATATTTGCCCTCGTCACTGATTATAGCCCTCGGTGTGCCAAAGCGGATAAAAATATTTTTCTTTAGAAACTCAATTACCACCATCCCATTGTTGGTAGGCAATGCAAGGACCTCTACCCACTTCGATACGTAATCCACAACCACTAATATATATTGATTAGAGAAGGATGGAGGGAATGGTCTCATGAAGTCGATCCCTCAGACGTCAAATAGTTCCACCTCTAGGATACTGTTCAAAGGCATTTCATTTCTCCTGGATATATTACCGATACGTTGACATTGGCCACACCTTTTCACGAATTCAAAAGCATCCTTAAATAGCGTAGGCCAGTAAAAACTTGATTGAAGGATCTTCGCCGCTATTTTTGACGCACCAAAATGCCCTGCATATGTAGATGAATGACAATGTTCTAATATCAAGGACACTTCTTCCTCAGGTACGTAGCGACGAACAATTTGATCAGCTCCCCACTTGTACAGAATGGGGTCTTCCCAAAAATAATACTTCAGTTCAGCGAAAAATTTCTTCTTCTGGTGACTTGAGTAATCTAGTGGAATGATAGACCTGGCTAAGTAGTTAACTATGTCCGCATACCAATGTGCCTCCCCCATACCAAAAATATGTTAATCTGGGAAGACTACGTTGATTTTCATGGTCTCTGTTTGTTCTGTGGCCTCGAGTCGAGACAAATGATCTGTTACCACGTTTTCACTGCCCTTCTTATCCTTGATTTTCAAATCAAACTCTTGAAGCAACAGTATCCAACGAATGAGACGTGGCTTTGCATCCTTCTTTTCCATTAAGTACTTGATAGCAGTGTGATCTGTGTAAATGATGACCTTTGACCCCACAGATATGATTGAAATTTGTCAAAGGCGTAGACTACAACAAGGAGCTCTTTTTCTGCAGCGGCATAATTTAGTTGAGGGTCATTCAATGTCTTACTTGCATAATAGATCACGTGAAATATCATATTTCTTCATTGTCCCAATACGGCCCCAACAGTAAAATCACTGGCGTCCCACATTAATTCAAATGGTGGATTTCAATCCGATGTGGTGATCATGGGTGTTGAAATCAACTTCTCTTTCAAGGTGTTAAAAGCCAGCAGACACTCATCCGTGAACTCAAATGTGGATTCCTTCATCAACAAACAGCACAGTGGTTTAGTAATCTTTAAGAAATCCTTGATGAACCTTCTGTAGAACCCGACATGGCCGAGAAAACTACGAACACCTTTCACTGATGTAGGTGGTGGTAATTTCTCGATCACTTGAATCTCTACTCTGTTCACTTCAATACCCTTTGCTAAGATTCTGTGTCCTAGCACGATGCCTTCCTCTACCATAAAGTGACATTTCTCCCAATTCAATACCAAGTTAGTCTCTGTACACCACTGTAGCACAAGACTCAAATGCTCCAAACACTCATCAACTGAAGACCCAAACACTGAGAAGTCGTCCATGAATACCTCGATGAATTTCTCAATCATATCTGAGAAGATAGCCATCATGCAGCGTTGAAAAGTGGCAGGAGCGTTGCATAACCCAAACGACATCCTACGGTATGCATAGGTACTATAGGGGCAGGTGAAAGTTATCTTCTCCTGATCGTCAGGTGCTACTGGAATCTGATTATACCCGGAGTACCCATCCAGAAAATAGTAATGCGAGTGTCCTGCTAGTCTCTCGAACATTTGATCAATGAACGGTAATGAAAAGTGATCTTTTCGAGTAGCAGCGTTTAGTTTGCGGTAATCGATGCAAACTCTCCATCCAGTCACTGTTCTTGTAGGAATAAACTCATTTTTCTCGTTTTCCACCACTGTGATATCCCCTTTCTTGGGAACAGCTTGTAATGCATTGATCCATGCACTATCTGATATTGCATAGATGGTGCCTGCGTCGAGCAACTATGTGTTTGATAAAGTTTAAGCTAACCCTACCTTTAATCGAATAGCAAAATCAATTTGTGACTAAACAATATAAAATCTATCAACTAAATAGAAAGCAATGTAAAGAAAATTTATCAAATTCGTAAGAAATATTGCTACGATGTAGATTTCCCCTTGTTATTCCATTTTTAGTGTAATAATTAAATTTACAATTTGAAATCATTCATGTTGGTCAATGTTTCTAATTTAACTGAAAGCCTCTCTCGATAACGATCAAATTTATTCCCCTCATGTGATCCTCCTATCTCTTGATGAAAGATGTAAACATGATAAATGTATTAATAAGTGCTAGAACATCTATTGAAACCATATAAAACATAGAGGTATATCTCTATCCTTTATCGAACCTTAAAATGTTTATTATATTGTGCTAAAATCCTATTGTCTCTCTCGATAACAATAAAATCCACTAACAATTCAATTTGTGATCAAACAATTAAAAAGAACAATAAAAACGATAATAAACATCCACAAATAAAATCAAACTAAAGTCAAAATAATTAATTAAAAGCTAAAAATATCATAACAAGGGTTCATCTCATCCTAACAATGTATAAAACTAGCCTAATATATTGAAATGATAAGAAATCATATATAAGTGGAAAGATATAACCCGAATTTTTGATAAATTGAGAAGATGAAGATAAGTCTTGAAATCTTGAATTCTTGAATCTCTTCAATGATTTCTTAATGAATCTCCACTTGCGCTTTCTCTTTTTTGTCCAATACCAAGTTTGAATCTTCACTTGATTGAATTCTTGCAAGTCCCCTTCAACTCTATCACAAAAACAATGAATTCTCCTCATTTCATGATGATAATTGATGAATATTGGTGTATATTATGTATAAGAGATATGTATGAGAGCCCCCTTCATGTATTCTCCCATTGGGTATTTGTAGTGGTCGAAAATTGGTGAAAAATCATGCCCAAACTGATTTTTAAAAGAGTTCCAATCGAATAAGGAAAGTAACACTCGCGCACGAATTTTTTTTTATCTCTACACTACAGTCAGTATTTTGATCATAACTTTGTCTCTTAATATCTGATTGAGTTGATTCAAAATGCGTTGGAAAGCTAACTAAAAGGGCTACAATTTTCCTATAGATAGATATTTTCCTATTTTTGACATTTACTATGCCAAACATTGGTCGCAATCCTTGACTAAAAATCTGAAAAATATCATGTGATTGGGAGTCGATTTAGGGTAATATTCTGATGATATTCCATTCCTTTTTTACTTCTAATTGCATCCTATTGACTCCCATTGGTGAGTGCAAATTATGCACTTATTTAGACCATTTTATTAAACTTTTATGTCGTCAAATTATTAATTTCTATTTAACTTGAGTTAATTTTAGTTTGTTTTTAGTGATGGACTCGTTTGGAGCAAATGGAAAAGGATGAAGAACAAATTGGCTAGTGGATGCAATATTGAAGATCAAATTAAACGCTTGAAAAATTGAAGAGGACGTTGATTGCACAATGGAGGAGCTCAAGGACTACATTACATTAACTTAAAAATTGAATGACTCGAAGAAAATAAGTTATTAATTGGCCCTCCAACGGAATCAAATTTTAATAAGAATTCAAAAGGCTGGAAAGTCCAATTATAAATTGGACCTTCGACTGCCAACAAATTGAAAAGGAATTTGGAGTCAAACATGTGGGCCACTTGGGAATTCAACTCATATAAAGTATCAACAATGGCTGCCCATTGTAGGGAGATAGATACACACGCAGGAGACAAAAAAAGGCAGCCGATATCTTATATACACGTACGGAAATCGAAGCTGCTAGAATCTCTTTTTTGGTCAAATTTGGTGGCTACTTAATTATTTATGGAGAGAGATTTATATGTATAGGCAGAGAGAAATTGGGCAGCCAATTATATAGTATATATTTTGCAAAAACCTGAGGCGGCCAGGGAGAGATTACGCAGAAGCTGGAAGTTGTAGAAAAAATGAAGAAAGACTAAAGCATACGGGGATGATAGAGACGGCAACACGCAGAAAAAGGGCAGACTTTTTGCAAATTATTCACGTTCCATCAATTAACTTGGTAATGTCTTCCATAATTTCTTCTTTTTCTCCTATTAATATGAGTAGCTAAATTTAATTTTAGGGCGAATAATGTAACTAATTTGGGATCATTTATTTATTTTATTTGAGATTCTTGTTATTTTATATTTTATGTATGGATTTTAATTATGTTTTTAATACTTTGAATTTTCTTGCAAATTATTCAATGATTTCGTGAACAATAATTACATAGAGATGTAGATTCTTGTTTAGACCGCATATTAAATTTCGGTAAATTAATATAACGTGTAGAGATACCTATATTAATTACTGCGTTCCTACAGAAATTCTTAGAACTGTTATTTCATTTAATTAAAATTAATTTGTATAGAGATATGTAATTGAACCAATTAAATAGGCTCACCGTGAACTCGAGAGGGGTAAGTTGAATACAATTGAAAAATTCGACTGAACAATACTTTAGTTTTATGAATCTCGATATTAAAAATAAAGGTGGTCAATAGGTGAATTTGTTCTGCCCTAATATTCATTTATTAATTGAATTTTCACTCATTTTCTGTTGCATTCACGAAATTTCTAGTAGTTAGATTTAAAAATCACATTCAATTATTTATTTATTTATTTTCATTAAATAGAAGTTATGAATAATAAATTGAGTACTAAAATATAGTTCTCGTGGGAACGATAATTCGAACTCAAAAGGTCCACTTTACTACTTATTACGATCCGTCTACTTGTGGGAAAAAATTGACAACAAGTTTTTGGTGTTGTTGCCGGGGACTATTACTTTTAATCTTAATTACTTAATTAATTAATTTTTATTTTTAATTTTTATTTGATTTGTTTATTTTCTTTTATTTATAGGAAAATGTGTTTGTTGTATGCTCCGTGTCCAAGGCGACGATCTTAAATCGTTTGATTCGAAAATAGAACATACCTTTAGACGAAGACGTACGGAACACAAACAAAAATAGCAACATCAAATGGCTGACAATCTAAACAACCCTATCCCTATACAGCCAATTGGACAAATGGCTGTGAGAGATCTACAGCAAGAGCAAAGGGAAGTAAATGAAGGGGACCTGCCTGTATTTATGTTCTTAATGCCTATAGCAGCAATCATGCTGTCCAACATACTATATCCAGATTTTGGGTAGACAACTTCCAGATGCAGGCTGACTGGATTAATTTGATGAGCAACACTTTGCAATTCTACGGGCTACCCCATGAGAATCCAAACACACATATCTCTAGATTTCTCAGGAATTGCCAGAATTGTCATGCTCCCAAGTTTAATGAGGATGCCATCAAGCTGCGATTATTCCCATATACACTAAGAGATGTAGAATTGGAATGGCTGGATGCTGAACCTGATGGAAGTAGAGGAATTGACCAGAAAATTCTACAATAAGTTCTTTCTACCAGCTAAGGTAGCAAAAATCAGGTTGAAAATTCAATCTTTTCAACAGAGAGATGGGGAGAGCTATCACGAGGCATGGAACAGATTTAAGGAGTTGATGAGGAAGTGTCCAAATCATGGGATCACAATTGATAATCAAGTGCAATATTTCTACACGGGACTTTCACCACTGTCCAAATCTCAAGTGAATTCCTCCGTAGGTGGATCGATCATAGGGAAATCAGTGCAACAATGTATGGATCTGTTTGCGTTGATTATTGCTACTCACTCTATGTTTTCATCTTAAAGAGTGGTGCCTCCAAAAGCAGCGGGAATATATGAATTGGACAGCACAATATCTACCAATGCCCAAATAGTAGCATTAATAAAACAGCTAGAGTTATTGGTGAAGTCACAAAAAAAGGGAGCACGTGTAGTAATAATTGGCCCATCATGCGAAAACTGCGAGGCAAATCACCTAACAAAAAATTGCACATCTATGGGCTTTTCGGAGGAACAAGTCAACTTCATTCAAAATGGCTCTTGAAATTTTAATCCCTTTTCACAAACATATAACCTA